TGGTGCACATATAACTCTCTGACAGTGATGCTGTGGTCATATAATGCTCCCATGTTGGTAATGGACTTCACATAGCTTTGCATTGTTGTGGTAGTGCTGTTCATGTAACTCTGTGGCATTGACCACTGTGGTATTCCCGACATTCTGGAACATTGGTCATGGTCACAGTCACATAACTCGATAGTTGGGTGGATTATTCTGAGAAATCTTCAGAGTTGGTGGTTGTGCTGACCTGATTCTGCAGTGATGCGGTGGCAGCACTAGTCTAACTATGAGATATGATGCATGTTACTCAAATATTCTCTGAAGTTGGGGCAAGTAGTACCCTGCTATGGCGGTCATGATACTTACATAATTGTGCCAGTGTGGTGGTGTTAAATAACCTGGGACTGGTGTTCACCAAACCCTGCAACAGTGTTGGTGGTGGTATTCCCATGACTGCATCATTGAGTATTTGTATTCCAGAACCTTGCAACATCAGTGGTGATGTGTTCAAATATGCTTGTGACATCACTGAGACACTCACAGTTTTATCTGTTCACCTAACTCTTTGATATTGGCCACAGTATCAACATAACTCTGAGATAGTGGTGTGGGCACACCTATAACTCTGCAGCTGTAGTGGTTACGTTGGTGCAGTTCTTTGATGTTGTTGGTGTTATTCACAAAACTCTATGACTTTGTGTTATTGATATAACATGTTAGTGGTAGATGTGATACTTAATGAGTTATGTGACAGTGGTCGTGTATTCATGTGACCCTCTGACATTGGTAGAGTTTGATCCACATGTTCTGTGAAATTCATCATGGTAGTCCTACAGCCCTGCTAAGTTTTTCATGGAATTGGCATCTTTTGCAGCATTGGTGGTGTTATTCATGAATGCTGTGATGGCAGCAATGGTGGTAACGCATGTAATGCCACTTGGTCATGGTGCTGATATGACTGTATGATGACAGTGCCTTTGGCTTTAATATCTCACTGCATGGTTGGAGGTGGTGTTCTTGCAAATCTGTGACTTTGGTCAGGATTTTCACAAAACACTGCAGTTTGTTGTTGGAATTCAAATGACTGCATTGGTGCTGGTGTTCCTTTAGCACTGCCACAGTGGTGGTGACCTTCAGACGACTCCATGATGATGAGTGGTGGTGGTGGTGAGAACTCTGTAGTGGTGTTAGTGTGTGTAATGGTGATCCCATTATTCTGCAAAGTTGGTCGCAGTCTTTACTCATCTTAGTGATAGTGCTAGTGCTATTTGTGTAACTCTGTGATGGTTGTGCTTGTGTTGACACCACTACTGGTTGTAGTCTTCATATATGTCTCTGAAGTTGTTTCCTGTTGCTGGCATTCACTTAACTACACAGTGTTGTTGGAGGTGGTGTTCTTAAATCTGTGTGAAGTTGGGCATGGTGATAGTGACACAACTCTGCAACTGTCATGATGCTATTCACGTACATCTGTGTTTTTGATTATTCACATGAATTTCATGAAAAACTGAATTAAAACATGAGTTTATTTATCTGTTTATTTTTTACAGGCCGAGTTAGAGAGAGAGAGACAGAGTGAAAGGTCTTCCTTCCGTTGGTTCACCCTCCAAATGACCGCTATGGCTGGCGCGCTGTGCTGATCCGATGGCAGGAGCCAGGTGCTTCCTCCTGGTCTCCCATGGGGTGCAGGGACCAAGCACTTGGGCCATCCTCCACTGCCTTCCCGGGCCACAGCAGAGAGCTGGACTGGAAGAGGAGCAACTGGGACAGAATCCGGCGCCCCAACCGGGACTAGAACCCGGGGTGCTGGGGCCACAGGCGGAGGATTAGCCTAGTGAGCTGTGGCGCCGGCTGAGTTTATTTTTGATAACTGTTCATGTATAAATTTTTCATAAAACACATTTTCCCAGGAACTTTTTGACATCCTGAGTATGCATGGATTGCAAACATTTTTGCACCAAAATAAACTTACCCTTATTTATTTATTTTTTTATTTATTTGATAGATAGAGTTAGACAGTGAGAGAGAGAGACAAAGGTCTTCCTTCCGTTGGTTCATGCCCCCAAATGGCCATCATGGCCGGAGCTACACTGATGCAAAGCCAGGAGCCAGGTGCTTCTCCTGGTCTCCCATGCGGGTGCAGGGTCCAAGCACTTGGACCATCCTCCACTGCACTCCCGGGCCACAGCAGAGAGCTGGACTGGAAAAGGAGCAACCGGGATTAGAACCCAGCTCCCATATGGGATGCTGGCACTGCAGGCGGAGGATTAACCAAGTGAGCCACGGCACCGGCCCCTAAACTTACCTTTAAATTCCATTTTTCTGTGACCTTTTGGAGTACCCTTGTATGCCTCTCTGATGGGGTAGGTATTCATATACCATCAGCCATAGTGTCCACTTAACTCTGTGATAGTGCACATGGTATTGGCATGACTGCGACTTTCATCATGTCCTTTATATAAATACACACTCATATTGGGGCAAATACCCGTATAACTCTAACAATGATGCATTTTCAGTCACAGTTTTCACACAGCTGTGACGTTATCATGATCCATAATTCCACAGTGATGGTGGTGGTGTTCATGTAACTGCTACAATTTTTGGTGCTATTCTCATTATTCTGTAACGTGAGTCATGGTATTAATGAAACTGCAGTGGCAACACTCGTATTTCCATAGCTCTATGATTTTGGTATCTGTGGTATTCACATAACTGGTTTGTTGATTGTACTCATATTAACACTGCCACATTGGTTTTGGTTTCCATATCACATTGCAATAGATGGTATATTGCATAATTCTGTGACTTTGGTGGTCTTGGTCCTATGAGTCAGGGCTCTCTAGAGATACAGAGTAGGTAGGATGTGCACATAAGCACATGAAGGAGACTTTAGTAGGAGGTTTGGCTCACGCCATTGTGACAGCTAAGTCCCATAGCAGGTCGTTAGCAGGCTGGAGAGCTGGGTTGCTGGCAGTGTGGAAAAGTAGTAAAAGTGGAAAATCTGAGCTTAGTGGGAGGCCTAAAGTCCTGAGTGCTAGCAAGGGGGCTGTGGGTATGGTCCTGGAGTCCAAAGGAGTCAAGCAGAATCCTAGCTTTGTCCTTGAGAGAGCCCCAAGTCGTCTTCCTGTTGCAGAATGCCAGCCCACTAGTGGTGCCCGCCCACGTGGAGGCTGAGTCTTCCCACCTAGCGCACTCAGATTCACAGGCTGATCTCATTTGGAAAGGCATCATAGACACACCCAAAATAATGCTTTTCCAGGTTTCTAAGCATCCCTTCATCTAGGCACTTTGACACCATAGAATTACCCATAATATTGTTTATCATGTAACTCTGTGACAGTGGTTCTGTTACAGGAATCTGATGTCGGTGACTATAATTGCATATAGTTAATATAATCTCTGTGGCATTGGCCGTGGAATGCGCGTAACTGTGATGGTGGTGGAGGTGTTTAGACAGCTCCATAGTACTGGTGGTGGTGCAATGGTGGGTGCAGTAGACACATCACTATGATTGTTGATAAAGACCCAGGCTCAAAGAAGTTTTGCTTAAAGTTGCATAACAAGGTATGGCAAAGCCAATCTCAAATTCAGGTTTTCTGAATAATTCAAATGCAGTATTTTTTGGATCATACCATGAGGTCTCTTCCTGCTAAATCTAAAGACATTTTTTGCTAAAAATATTTGTGTCTTCAAACTCCCCAAGGCCTTTGGAACATAAATATTACATTTAGTTCTTTATCTGTAATTGTAGTGATGTCCATATATTCACATACACCCTCTTCAAATGCGAAGTTGGTCAAGTTTTAGTTATACATAATGAATAAATTTGAACTTCTGAAAGTTTATGGTGAAGATTACAAACGAGGACTTCCTGGTAAACTAAAGTCATCTATAGTTTATTCATAAAGCCCAAAGTATATTTATTGGATAATAAACTTTAATCTCGATGAAAGCATTGTCATGTAGCATTTTCATTCTTTTCTCTCTCTTTTCTTTTTTAAAAAAAGTTACAAATTCTTGGGAGACCTATAAAGAACTAGAAATAAATAGAACCTATAAACCTATAAAGAACTAGAAATAACTAGAAATTGTGGTCCATGGCAAACACATGTTTAAATCATCATTGAAATAATTAAATAATTACTCATTGAAATAAACATTTGAGATGGCTGCATTTAACAGTGTGTATCATACCTCAATAAATGGTTATAAAATGAATTTACTAATGAGTTTTAGAGAAGTCAATCTAAGCACTCAGGATATTTTCTTATGGATGTGGGCTATTGGTTCTTTTTTTTAAATTTTTGACAGGCAGAGTAGACAGTGAGAGAGAGAGAGAGAGAGAGAGAGAGAAAGGTCTTCCTTTGCCATTGGTTCACCCTCCAATGGCCGCCAAGGCCGGCATGCTGCGGCCAGGACACCGCGCTGATCCGATGGCAGGAGCCAGGTGCTTCTCCTGGTCTCCCATTGGGTGCAGGGCCCAAGCACTTGGGCCATCCTCCACTGCACTCCCTGGCCACAGCAGAGAGCTGGCCTGGAAGAGGGGCAACCGGGACAGAATCCGGCGCCCCGACTGGGACTAGAACCCGGTGTGCTGGCGCCGCAGGCGGAGGATTAGTCTAGTGAGCCGTGGCCCCGGCCAGGGCTATTGGTTCTTATAAATTTCTTTGGCGGATCGTTGTTGTGACACAGTGGGTTAAGTCGCTGCCTGCGACACTGACACCCCATATGGGTGCTGGTTCCAATCCCGGTTGCTCTGATCCAGGTCCCTGCTCATGTGACAGGAAGCTGGAATGGAGCTGAGATTCAGACCCTGTGATATGGAATGCAGGTGTCCCAAGCAGCATCTTACCTCTGCACCCTACACACCTGCTCCTGGGTTATTTCTTAAAAAACAAACAAACAAACAAACAAAAAAACAAACAAGGACAGAAGCTTCATCCTAGCATGTAAAGTGTGATGGAAGCCTCTCAGTTCCCAGGGCTCATGCTTTCCATTTTTTCCCCTTGCAGTACTTGGGCTGCATTGAAGTTCTACGCTCTATGCGGTCTCTTGACTTCAGTACAAGAACACAGATTACCAGGTAAGACCCCCTTGAACATGAACTCCTGCGATTTTACTTTAGAAGGGGAAGATCTCAGATCTCTAATAGCCCAGACATTTCCAGAAGGAAACCTTGCCCATTGGAGTGGCGGTGCTTGGTGGCAGTGAGTCAGGACTCACTGTGTCTGACATTGGCTTGCTCGTCTGTCTGTGACATGCACGCAGCAGGAGCATCTCGAAGGACACTGTGCCCTTCCAAGCTCTTTATATAATCAAGCGACCGCAGTGCTTATGTTTGTTTTTTGAATGCATGAAACTCTCACATGAGCCTGATACTTCAAAATCAACCGAACCATATTCTTTTTACAAAAGAGAAGATGTGAAGTGAGAATTTCCAACGGTACACACCGAGAATAAAATGCATAGAACTGGAGTTGGAAATATTCATGGAAATAGGTCATTTAGCAGGTGGACCAGTTCTTCAAGGTGTCAGTGCTTTTGAATAGTTTTTTTTTTTTTTTATTTTTTGACAGGCAGAGTGGACAGTGAGAGAGAGAGACAGAGAGAAAGGTCTTCCTTTGCTGTTGGTTCACCCTCCAATGGCCGCCGCAGCTGGTGCACCATGCTGATCCAAAGGCAGGAGCCAGGTGATTCTGGTCTCCCATGGGGTGCAGGGCCCAAGCACCTGGGCCATCCTCCACTGCACTCCCTGGCCATAGCAGAGAGCTGGCCTGGAAGAGGGGCAACCGGGACAGAATCCGGCGCCCCGACCGGGACTAGAACCCGGTGTGCTGGCGTTGCAAGGCTGAGGATTAGCCTAGTGAGCCGCGGAGCCGGCCTGGTTTTGTTTATTATCTATCACCAACTAGATTCTAAACTTCTTGAGGGCCACTATTTAAGCATTGCTTGTAGAACACATTTTAGCACGTAGTTCTTGGTAGAGCTTCCGTCTTTGGGAAAGTGTCAATTTCAAGTCATTTTGAAGAAGAGAAGTGGAGGGAGTCTATGACTTTTTTTTTTCTGATAGGCAGAGTGGACAGTGAGAGAGAGACAGAGAGAAAGGTCTTCCTTTTACTGTTGGTTTACCCTCCAATGGCTGCTGCGGCCGGCGCACTGCGCTGATCCAAAGCCAGGAGCCAGGTGCTTCTCCTGGTCTCCCATGGGGTGCAGGGCCCAAGCACCTGGGCCATCCTCCACTGCACTCCCGGGCCACAGCAGAGAGCTGGCCTGGAAGAGGAGCAACCGGGACAGAATCCGGCACCCCGACCGGGACTAGAACCCGGTGTGCCGGCGCCACAGGCAGAGGATTAGCCTAGTGAGCTGTGGCGCCAGCCAGGAGGGAGTCTATGAAATGGCTACATTCTGTGGCTATTAGAAGTTTAAGTTGCTCCTACTCTGTGAAATTGCTTAATCTATTTATTTATTTACTTATTTTAAGATTTTTTTTTTATTATTTGAAAGGTAGAGATACAGAGAGGCAGAGGCAGAGAGAGAGAGAAAGAGAGAGAGAGAGGTCTTCCATCTGCTGGTTCACTCCTCAAATGGCTGCAACAGTCAGAGCTGCCGCTGGTGCAAAGCCAGGAGCCAGGAGCTTCTTTCAGGTGTACCACCCGGGTGCAGGGGCCCAAGGACTTGGGCCATCTTCTGCTTTCCCAGGCCATAGCAGAGAGCTGGATTTGAAGTGGAGTGGCCAGGACTCGAACCAGTGTCTGTATAGGATGCTAGTACCGCAGGCGGTGGCTTTACCCACTATGCCACAGCACTGGCCCAAAAATTGCTTAATTTAAATAGTGACCTCAGAAAATACCTCCTGCTTACTACCTCAAATCACACCTTTTGGTTTAGCAAGCCAGTGTAAGGATCAAGCTTTAGGAAGCAATTATGGGTGGTAATTAGCTGCTAAGTCAGGTGCACACCTCAATTCTGATTTAAGCTCCATAACGACACCTCTTCTTCCTGACCAAGGAAGTTCATGATCAAAAGTGTTGATGTTTCGCTTCTCTCTAAAGCAGCTTGAGCTGCATCGGGTGGTAGTGTTCCAACGTTGATGACTACATGAAGGAGAGAATCCACCCCAACATATGAGGGGACTTCAGAAAGTGCATGGAAAATGGATTTAAAAGATAAGTTGTTTTGGTGCAAATTACTTTTGAAATGACATTTTTTCCCATAATACTCATGAACTTTTTGAAGACCCCTTATATTTGTAGAAAATGGGAAAGAAGTGGTATTTTGCAGAAACAGCATTTAAAGGAAGTTTGAGTGTTCCGTGGTCAACTGTTCATCCGCTTTGTTCATGAGAAGGTAAACACAGTCCACTGTTGTGGGCCGAGCGCTTTGCCGGTGCTTGGGGGAATGTGGGCATTGTATGACTCTGTTCATGTTCTCACGTGTAGTAGCTGCTGTTTCTAAAAGAATAGCAATCAATTAGGAGAGAACCGGTAGCTCTTTTTCCCTGAACTCCATTTACAGATGTTAGAATTTCAAGATGATTTCATGTCAAAGTTTCCCTGTTACATTTATTGAGCATTTCTCGCTGGCTGTGTACACACCATGTACTAGACAACAGGGGCTGTTTTGCCAGGCCTCCCAGCCTTGAGGACAAAGATTTATATGCAAATTGTTGAGGGCCTCGTACTTGGTCCTGCTCCTTGGAGATGAGAGTGGAGTGGAGGCACCAGTAGATAATTTCAGTTTTCCACTTGATGAGGCTATGGCTCTGGGGCTTCCTGGGGGCAGAACCCCAGTGGGATGATGCAATAATAATATTGTAGAAGAAAGCAGGTGAGAAAGGCATGCTGGGGTTGGAGGTTGGAATGTTCCGATTCCCTTAAGATTTGTGCAGAAAGGAAGCAGTGCAACGGGACAACTTGAGCACCATTGTTGGACTTTGGAAACTTGATGTTGAATTCTGCTTGTACCACCATTGTCTGGGGTTCTGTTAGAATTTTTGAAAATTGTGTTTGCTTGTCGCCTTGATGCTTTCTGCCTCTTGTGACCTTTCATGTGGCATGTTGCTTCGGGTACTTAACACCCGGAGATCACTCAAAAGAAACACTTGGACGAGTCAACAGCAGAAGGGAGCCCTCTGCAAGCATGAGCAGAAGACACACAGTGTCGTGTAGGAGTGGCACACAGTGGAGCTTCTAGGATCTCAGTGGTAACTGAGTGTTAGTCACGTCTAGCCTGAATTCTGCCACCAATTGACTTTACATACCAGGGACATTCTTGGAAAGATGTGGAGAAATGAATGTTGAAATTAAGTTATATTATTTGGACACGAGGAAATCTTGCTTCCAAAGTCCCTCTAGCCATAATTTTCAGAAAAATATGTGTTTTCAATAATATACCTGCTTGTTGGTGCTATTTTCAATTTTGGATGTCACTTAAAAATTATACCTAGATGAAGTCTGCTGACTCTGACATGAGTCTTTTTGTCAGGGTTGGTTAAGTTTTACGCTGCTCCGGGCGTCTGAGTTTAAATTATTGTGGCATTTTCAAAAACCTTGGGCACGGATTCCTGATGCCTCACTGCAAATGAAGTTGCCATTGATTACGTCATCAGTGTCAGGGTAGCCACTGCACGTCGCCTGCGCCCTACACCTTGGCGAATCCGTGCCTAGCACACGGAGGAGACAGCCTGGCTGTGGAGCTCACTTCTGCTGATTTCCACCTGTAAGAAGTCTGGCCTTGACTCAAGGAGTGCACTGTTTGTGCAAGCCTTCTTGGGAGTAGAGACACACCGAAAGAAGCAGTTTCTGCCAGCAGAGTTTCCTCCCCAGTGTGCCCTCGGCCACGAGCCTCAGCCAGCACAGCCTTACCGGGGACAGGCCTGAGCTCATGCTTGCTAACGGTGTGCCTAGTCGAATGTGGCTTTGAAGTGCGGCATATAACACTGCCCCCTTGTAGATTCACAACGCATATTACAATGTCCAAGCTACATAGAACTCCCACTGTAGAGGACAGTGATGCTTGGCCATTCTAGAATTTCTCCCACTTGCTCAGTGGACCACAGGGACCAGCCCTCCTCCCTTGCCCATGCCTGTGACCTGGATTTCAGCCTGCTGTGCAGGGACGGGGCACAAGGTGTTGTCACCCTGGTGGAGGTGGGGCCTCAGTTGGAGGTCGGTCGGAGACTTCTGCTTCCATCCCAATTGGACTGCTGGATTTCCACACTGGTGGCTGTAGCTACAAGTGCTGAACAGCCACCGTGGTGGGCTCGTGTTTGGCTGTCCTATGTGTGCCTCAGGGAGAGCGGTTGTCATCTCACACTGAGGGATGGTGGGAGCTGTGTGGTTGTAGTTCCCATAGGAGGACTCTGGAGTGGGGGCCATGCTCCGGAGCTGAGCATGTGCAGTGGCCATGGAGGGCCTGTGCTCTTCCCCTCTGCTGTCCACAGTATCTGACCTGCTGAACTACAGGGTCTGTGCAGCCCGGTGGGGTCTGGTCTTGCAGATGTGCAGGAGGCCCTTGTGGCCTTGCCTCCTATGCCTCTGTGGTCTGACCTTCTATCCCCTGTACTTTGATTTCCTCGGCTACTTTTTAAGTTGTGTTTGCAATGTCCAGTTTTATCTGATATTTAAGCTACCCCAAGTCATTCCTAGAACATGGACAGCTGTAAATAAATCTGCTTCCGGTTAAACCCAGAGCACCTGGCGACGTGGCCTTCCCCAGCAATGACCGCGAACACCTGATGTGGATTTGGGGTGTTTATCCTGCTGACTTCCTGCACAGCCCGGATGTGCTAGGCAATGTCAGGTCCATTCCATCCCGAGTCCTGAGGACATGTGTGCTTCGCCACGTGAGCGTCTGCCACGCTTCCAGGGTGGGTGGCAGGTGGATTTCATCGTCCAGGACTCAGCGTGCACCTGCTTCTTCAAATTGCAGAGTGAACAATTGAATCAGCTTTAAGCTTTTCCTGTCTTTGGAAGTCCCCATAGTTTCAATGGCCCTAAAACCTTTGTCTGACCTAGATTGACACAGGCCACCACCAGTGCAGCTCCAACGGGTGGGCGTGGCTTACAGGCCAGCGCCCCGCAC